AGTGCTGAGATTACCGGGCCTGGCCTAGGAAAAGCCTTCCAGTTTTGGCAGAAGGAACAGGAAATGGTATTAACACCAAGAGAAACTGGGGCAATCTCTTGCTTCTGAGTGTTTACGCATACATACAAATATATGTGTATGTTTTCCTGCCTGTTTTTCCATGTCACAGCCTCTGGACAGTCTCACAGCAATAGCAGCAGCAGTGGAAGCAGTGGGGGCCTGCAGGTATCTAATACTACAAGCGATAGGAACATTCTTTTCTTATTAGAGTTGCTGCAGAGTGAACCCCCATTACTTTTTTTCCTCTTGCCACACCCAGCCATAGTTGCAGAAAGTACAAAGCCGAGGGAGATAACTTAAGCCCCAGGGTTATGACAAGAGAACTGAAGAGGGGAGCTCCAGGGAACAAGAAAGTATCAAGAAGATCACAGCAAGGAACAAGTTCAAAAAAGCAATCCATGTTCAAGTTCAAAAATTCCAAAGTAAATAAGAAAAAACTCAGTTTTTATGAACTCCTAGGCTCTTCTGACCTGAATATATGTGGATCTGTCCGTAAATAACATATCAAAGACTAAAGTTTAACTTTTAGATTGAACTGGGTGGTGCAGACATAGGACAAATCCAAGTAATACTGCAAAGCCCTTGAAAACCAAACTGACGTTGGAATCAAAGTCCACAGGCTTGTTGGAACTTGCAGCCTGAACCTAACAGGGTCAATACCTGTTCAAACTAAAGTATCAACCATCTGCATACGATTTATTTTATTTTATTATTTATTTTTTGAGACAGAGTCTTGCTCTGTTGTCCAGGCTGGAGTGCAGTGGTGCAGTTCTCTGCCTCAGACTCCCGAGTAGCTGGCATTACAAGTGCCCACTACTATGCCCAACTAATTTTTTGTATTTTTAGTAGAGATGGGGTTTCACCATGGTGGGCAGGCTGGTTGCGAACTCCTGACCTCATGATTCATCTGCCTTGGCCTCCCAAAGTGCTGAGATTACAGGCATGTAATCTCTCCACCAAGCCTGAGAGAGTTAATTCTTCTTTAAGTGCTTGATAGAATTTACTAGTGAAGCCATCAAATCTTCATCTTTTCTTTATTAGGAGGTTTTTGATTACTGATTGAACTATCTAACTCATAATTGCTCTGTACAGATTTTTCTGTTTCTTCATGATTCAGGCTTGGTAGTTTCATGTTTCTAGGAATTTATCCATTTTTTTCTAGTTTATCCAATTTGTTGGCATATCATTATTCATAGTCACTTATGATTCTTTGTTGTTTTAGAGATGAGGTCTACCTTTATTGCCAGGGCTAGAGTATAGTTGCACGATCATAACTCACTGCAGTTCTGAACTCTTGGGCTCAAGCAATCTTCTGCCTCAGCCTCTCAAGTAACTGGGGCTATACTCGTGAACCACTCTCCCAAGCTAATCCTGACAATTTTACAGTTTCTTTGTTGCTATCTCTCTCTTTCTTTCTCATTTGATTTTTTTATGGTGATATGATTTGATGTCTTTCTCTTTGTCTTCAGTGTATCTACTAGAGACTTTTTCTTTGTGGTTACCATAAGGCTTACATAAAACATCTCATAGTTATAATGGTCTATTGTAAGATAATAATAATTTTAGGCTGGGTGTGGTGGCTCACACCTGTATTCCCAGCACTTTGGGAGGCTGAGGTGGGAAGATCGCTTGAGTCCAGGAGTTTGAGACCAGCCTGGGCAACATACTAAGACCCTGTCTCTACCAAAAAATTTAAGGATCACTTGAGGTCAGGAGTTTGAAACCAATCTGGCCAACATGGTGAAACCTTGTGTCTACTAAAAATACAAAAAATTAGCTGGACATGGTGGCGGGCACCTGTAATCCCAGCTTCTTGGGAGGCTGAGGCAGGAGAATCGCTTGAACCCGGGAGGTGGAGGTTGCAATGAGCTGAGATTGCACCACTGCACTCCAGTCTGTGTGACAGAGCAAGACTCCATCTCAAAAAAAAAAAAAATTTAACCAGGTGTGGGAACACACACCTGTAGTTCCAGCTACTCAGGAGGCTGAGGTAGGAGGATCCCATGAGCCCAGGAGGTGAGACTATAGTGAGCACTCTGGCCTGGGCTACAGAGCAAGACCCTGTCTCTCAATAATAATAATAATAATAATAGTTTAACTTTGACCACATATAAAAAGTCTACACTTTAACTTCTCCAACTATGTTATGTTATTGATGTTGCAATATACATCTTTTATATATTGTGTATCTATTAGTAAATGACTATAGGTTTACTTATTTTTAATACCTGTGTCTTTCAGCCACCACACCCAGCCTATGTGTATGTTATAATAATTTACAAAGCGCCGGGCGCGGTGGCTCAAGCCTGTAATCCCAGCACTTTGGGAGGCCGAGGCGGGTGGATCACGAGGTCAAGAGATCGAGACCATCCTGGTCAAC